TGTCCTCTCCTGCCACACTCGGCCCATGGCATCAATGTCCCCATGGACCCCACAGAGCTGTCCTCTCCTGCCATGCTCACCTTATGGCATCAATGCCCCCAAGGACCCCACAGAGCTGTCCTCTCCTGCCATGCTCACCTTATGGCATCAATGCCCCCAAGGACCCCACAGAGCTGTCCTCTCCTGCCACGCTCACTTTATGGCATCAATGCCCCCAAGGACCCCACAGAGCTGTCCTCTCCTGCCATGCTCACTTTATGGCATCAATGCCCCCAAGGACCCCACAGAGCTGTCCTCTCCTGCCATGCTCACCTTATGGCATCAATGCCCCCAAGGACCCCACAGAGCTGTCCTCTCCTGCCATGCTCACTTTATGGCATCAATGCCCCCATGGACCCCACAGAGCTGTCCTCTCCTACCACACTCACCCCTTGGCATCAATGTCCCCCACACGTGAATGCACACACAATAATAGTAAAAAAAAAAATTGAAAAATCTTGATTGTTACCTAGATTTAGTCTTTGAAATTGGGAAAATAGTTTCTAGGGATAAATGATTCCTGGAGCTCAATGAGGAGAAAAGCTGGCTTCAGCCGGTCTCAGCTGAGCGTTCCTTCTGTGAAGGGTGAATTTTATGTAGACTTTGATCTTCTTCATTGTCGCTGTCATATCTTCATGTCGCTTCGAATGTCATGGATATTCTCTGAGCATACATCTTCCTACAGAGGACATGATCTTATCCTTTTAAGCTGAAGCAAATATTGGTTGTTTTTCTTCAGCCCTTCTCGGCTTACTAGAAGGTAGATGTGCTGGCTGGTTCTAGGCCAACTTGACACAGCCAGAGAAATGGTTGAAGAGGAATCTTCACGGGAAGGAACTGGGAACCCTAACTCCTTTCTCCTTTAAAGTCACCTGACACTACTGGGGGCAGGGAGGTTCAGCAGTGCCCCTTTGGGGTCCCTGAGGCCAGGGCTGCTCTAGGGACTCTTATCAGACCTTGCCCCTTACTTCTGAGAAATCCTGCCACTCCGTGAAGGGCTTGTCACTGGGCCAGTAGGACTGCTTGGACATGGCACTCTATAGGTGAGGAGGGCATTGTGCTCCTCCACTCTGTGGGAAGGAGCCTGTGATTGACAGCCTGCACGGCCCCTTTAAATGGTCCTCCTAGATGCTCAGGGTACTGGCACGTTCCTCTCTGCCAGGTAACATTTACTAAGGCTGTCAGCCTGGCCTGAATCTCTGGGGATTACAGGTTAACCACAGTAGGACCTGCTCCCAACCCTCACCTCAGATATAAGTCCTGTGTAAAAAAGCCCAGTTGGGGGTCCTCAGGTTTACAAAGCTCTGGGAAGCTTTGGGGTGCACATAGATAACACTCAGCTCTAAACTGGAAACACAACCATCCATTTTGAGTCTCCTCCCTGTGGTAAGGTCTTCCTGACCCCAAAACGTTCACACCCTAACTCTGAACGGCTTACTTTATATAGATAGGGGACTTTGCAGCTGTGACTGAGCTAAGGCTCTCTGTCTAGGGACAGTCTCCTAGATTATCCAGTCAGGTCCTTGAAGGTAGAAAGGATGAGAGGAAAAAGCTCACAGAAGTGAGACATAAGGAGGGCTCTCTTGGACAGCCAGGCACCGAGGAAAGAGGAAGGAGCCCCAGGAGAGGACAATGGGAAGACAGATTCTCCATGCACCTCCAGAAGTGAGCGCTCCTCTACCAACACCTTGTGTTTAGCCCAGTGAGATCCAGGTAGGGTCTATAGCCAGTTCCTGTTATTTAAGCTGCTGATTCTGTGGTCATGTGTCAGGGCACATTGTGCCCAGTCAAAGGGGATTCCTAAACTCTCTTTCAAAACCACCTGAGAACTTTGTGTAACCTTGAAGGCCTGGGATCACCACAGTCTGCTGCTGGCTCCATCTGTGAGCCAGAGCAGTGTGAGGCCTTCCCCAGCACCACGTACTCAGACTTCCCAGTCCCCAGAACTGTGGGCCAAAGCAAAACCAACCCAGGAAATCAAGGTAGGAACTTGGAGTCAGGAGCTGACACAGAGACCAACTGAGGATCAGGAATGGAAGACTGCTTCCTGGCAGCCTCCTCTTCTGTCTGCTCGCTCAGCAATCAGCTGCCTTTCTTGCACAGAGCAGGCCCACCTATCCAGGAATGGCACCATCCATGGTGAACTAGCTCCCTTGTGCCAAATAACAACCAGGGAAAAGCCCCCAGAGACATGCCCGTGGACCACTCTGTAGCATGAATAATAAAAACCCAGAGACAGATATTGGAGTTTAATCTGAAGATCAGAAAAGCAAAGCAGCCAGCTATTGGCTTTTGCCTCTACCTCAGACTGAAAATGGATGAGGTCCTGTCTCCATGAATCCTGAAGACTCTACACCCCACATTCCACACTCCACTGAGTTCCTGTCCGTTCCCCTTTATATTCTTCTCTCTGCCCAGCCATATTTCTCCTGTCTCTACCTCCCTATGCCGGGATTTAAAGGTGTGTGATCCCAAGTGCTGGGATCACCTTTGTGTGAGCCCCAACCACCAATGTGCAGAGAACCGGAAAACCACATGCAGAATGACAAAGCAAGGGCACACAAACCAAATAAACCTTTTCCTCTTTTCAAGCTGTTTTTGGTCAGTATTTCCTCCCAGCAACACAGAGCCCGAACCAAGACACATGCCGTCTTTAGTGGACGCATCCTTCCCAGTTCTGAGCTTCCTACTCTATTCCAGTAATTTCACGCGTGTCTGTGGCAGATTTACTGTATTTCATTCATATTAGCTTTCCGTTTTTCAGCTGGCTTAGCTATTTTTGAACTTTTGTATTTTCATATAAAGTTTAAATGAGATTAAATTGTTAAAAAACATTCGGATTGAATTTTTATTGGAATTCTATAATTTGCACATTCTTTCAATGTTAACTATTAAGTCTTTATATTCAAGTATATTTAAGCACTCTATTTATACATTTGACTTTTTAGACTTTTTTCTTTCCTAGAGTTTTACAGTTTTCTCCATTGTAGCATGAATTCTAACTGTCTTAATAATAAAAACTTGGAGTCAGCTATCAGGGGGTGAAAGCTGAAGGGTCAGAGAAGCAGAGCGGCCAGTCAGTCTCATGTTGGGTGCCATTCTGTTGAAGGAGCTGCGGGCCTCTTTCCACAGCCTGGCTCCTGGCCTCCTGGCTAGCTTAGGCCCCGAAATAACAACACACAAATTGTATTCTTTTAAACACTGCTTGGCCCACTAGCTCTAGCCTTTTATGGGCTAATTCTCATATTTTGCCTAACCCATTTTTACTAATCTGTGTAGCACCAGTCTTACCGGGAAAGATTCAGCATGTCTGACCTGGCGGCTTGCTCCATTGCATCTGGCTCTGAGAGAAGCTGCATGATTTCTGAGCTCACTTCCTCTTCCTCCCAGCATTCTGTTCTGTTTACTCCATCTATCTAAATTCTGCCCTATCAGATGGGCCAAGGCAGTTTCTTTATTAGTCAATGACCTTCCTCCATCATCTACCAATGCTCAGACCAAAGGGGCGATCCTGTTCTCAGGCTGCCTCCTCAGACTACACTGAGTTCCTGTCTCCTCCTGCCTTATAGTCCTCTCTCCACCCAGCCATCTCACTCCTGTCTCCACCTCCCAAGGGCTGGAATTGCCTTTGTGTGAGATCTGTTTCTCTTTTAGACTGGATCAATTTCATGTAGCTCAGAGTGGCCTTGAATTAACAGAGATTCATCTGTTGTCCGAGTCCTGAAATTAAAGGTGTATGCCACCACTGCCTAGCCACTAGTGGCTAACTCTGCACTCTGATCTTCAGGCAAGCTTTATTTGTTAAAACACAAACAGGATATTGCTACATTCCATAACGTTTGTGTATAGTTTTGATAAGTGAAATCTCAGATATTTAAGAGTTTTGTTGCTCGTTGAGTGACATATTATTTTTAATAGTTTTTTTTAAGAAATGGTTCTTGTCATTATGAGAAGCAACACTGATTTTTTTCTCATGCCTTTTGTATTATTTTGCTATACTCATTACCTCAGATAGTCTCTTTTACTGTCTGTTAATATTTGCTGGATGAGTGATCGTACTATTTCCAGATAATAATATTTATATTGCTTCCCAGGCTTTCACTTGTTCCAAACAACAGAATTTCGTTTTGTTTTATAACCACTGAATAATATTCATATGTATATGTGTAAGTATTGTCAAACCTTTTGTATCTCAAAATAGAGCATTTTAAAATTGAACCTAGAAGGCTACAGAAAGTCACTTTTCCAAGTCTATCCTATGAAATCTTTTTTTTTTCCCCAAGCCAAACTGTATCCAGCTTTATTAAAGACACTTTCCATAAACCATCATGGTTTTCCAGGCAGGACATGGGCAGACAATCATCAACAATACAGGAGAACTTCCAAACTCACTTCTTGTATGGGCTACCAAAGCCAGACCTGAAAAGGGGGAGGAGCTCAGAGTGAGGGCTGACATTTCACACTGAGGATGTTGTTTCCCAACTTTTCACAAGCCGACCCTGACTTTCAGCAAATGAAATGAAAATGGCAGAATTATCAATCTGCAGACCCACAATCTTCTATAAAAGGAACCGCGGCGCTTTTGAGGACACTCAATGATATCACTACAAAGTCCGGATTGCCCAACAGACTGGCAAAACCAATTTTGGGGGTCAGGTTCCAACAGGTCTCTGGTCTTAAGGGAGTTAAGTCTATGTTGATGGTACAGGGGGGAGGAGGATATAAAAATGAACTGAGTTTTCCCACACAAGGCATGTTGTGCCATGGTGGCCACATATGACAACATGTCCCCAGGATGTCTCTCCTGGGAGCCACGAGGAGTCTTTCAAAATTATCAGGGAAAGATGTTTTCCATCATGAACCATCATTCATCCAGCTTGGGAGACACTGCTAGTGACATATGTTCCTCCCTACCCAAAACAATGAAGTGTTCTGTGTGCTAACAACATAGCTTTAAAAAAAAAAGTAAAACAAAATTCTGCATTTTTATAAATCTTGATAAAAAAATAGTATTTCAAACTGTACAGTCACCAGAAGTACACAGTTATCAAAAACGCACACATTTCACCTGGCGTCTCCAGCACCTTCAGCTTTTTGTACCTGCTCTGTTTTGGTGTCTCCATTCTCTACAGGATTATTGGCATCCTTACCAGCGTCGCCTTCCCCTTCTTCAGCCTTGGGTACCTTCTCTCCCTTGCTTGCAGGGGCCATTTTAGGATTGGGCTCTGGCTTTTCGGATCTTCTCTGTGGCTCGTCCTTCACCTTGGCTTTATCTCCTTTAGTATTCCCTTCAGCCTTTATGGGGCTGCAGCAGGTGCGCGGCTTGCTTGGGTCCGGCCGGGAGTCCTTCTTGCTGCTTCTTCCCCTATGAAATCTTAAGTAAACTCTACACCAAGGTTTTATGGGATATTAGTTTAGGACGTGTTACATTTGCTTTTGTTGTAGAACATTTGTTTAAGGACGCAAAGATGTGCTGCATTCTTCTATGCTGCATTCCTTTAACTCTGTGAAGCTGTGTTACTCTGCCTGTCTAAAACACCTGATTGCTCTAACAAAGAACTGAACAGTGAGCCAATAGGGAGGCAGGAGAGAGAAATAGGTGGGGCTAGTGGACAGAGAGAGTAAATAGGAGGAGAAACCTAGGAAAGGATGGAGAAGTGAGAAAAGGTGGTGAGGAGGATGCCCAGGGCCAGCCACCCATCCACACAACCGCCGTGGAGTAAGAAGGAAAGACATACAGGACAAACAATGGTAAAAAGCCTAGAGGCAAAATGTAGTTAAAGAGAAACAGGATTATTCAGGTTGGAAACCTGGCTAGAAACAAGCCAAGCTAAGGTCAGGCATTCATAAGTAAGAATAAGTTCCTATGTATTTATTTGGCAGCCAGGTGATGGACCCCCAAAGAGTTAAAAACAAACCAACTACATCAAAGAGGCACAAGAGTTTGGCACGTTTCCTGCAAGGCACTGTCGGCACATTGCGTAATCAATGTGCACCTGGCAGTCACCCTGGCCAGAGTCCCTGAAGGCTTTGGATACTCATGGTTGACGAGTTCAAAGCCATCTGCTGTGTGATGCTGTCCTCACCCCCTCATCTCAGTTCTTCCAAAGAGCCAACATTAATGGGAGAAACAACAAACAACTTTCCATAATTTAGGGAGCCAGATAATTTCACTCTATCTTTTTGGGGTTACTAAATTATTTTTAAATGACATAAAAATAAGTTTGTAAATCAATGCTAATCACATTGCCCATTACTCCTCTTCCCTCTCCAGCACGTCCCTATTTGATTAGATTCTATCACAGCCCTTGAGCCAGACACCATCAGGGTAGCCTTAGCTCCTAGTTAACATGGGAAAGAACTAAAGGACTACCCTGGAAAGTCGTAACTTTCCATGACCTCAAACATATTTTGAGTTCCTGAGCTCTTACATCAACCTTCCATCAGTAGGAAGGGGAACCCAGCTCATTGGCTCATGAATTGAACAAGCCCATGATCTATGAGGCAGATGGGAAAATCTTGGATCAAAGATTAGGGCTTCAGAATAACTTCTCGGTTACGAGCTGAGCCACCATCACGGTGCACCCTGGGAACGGTCAGTGGGCTGGACTGGCTGTTGTCCCACTGTGCAGGAAGAAAGCAAGGTCCAACAACGACATATTACTTCCTTTCTGCCCTTAGAACCCAGTCCAGTGTCCCTTTGTGGGAGCTATCACTGGTCCTACCAGCTGCGAGGGTGGGAGGAAACACAGTTAGGGTTTTACTAATCACCAGGCCCCACTGGAGAAGGGTCAAGCTGTGGTAGAATTGGACAAAGAGGCAGTGAATCTGTCACCAACCGAGTTACAGAAAGTAGATGGCTTCACGTCCTTGTGCTATCTTTGGACTTGGTTTTTCTCTTTAGCTTTAAATAGCTGTACTGAAGGTGAATGGCCCTGGGGGAACTATGAAATGGCCTGCCTTGGGGTTTCTCATTGTTTCAGTTCTAACGATATTTGAATCTGGCAAGTTTTGAGTTCTCCTTGGGAGACTGAAACAAGAATGGATTGGAAAATATCCTGTTCCTTAACAGAAGGGAAGTGACAGTATTTAACTGTCTTAGCTTATTATATCTAAAGAGAGATTTCCTGAATTTCACAGAATTAATGGTGAAATCAGAATGCTGTTTTGCACAATTAGTTGTGGGATATAATAAAGTGAACATGAGGTATTAAGTGAGCATTATGTTCCCTTAATAGGGTTGGCATTGCTCAAAAAATTGAAGTGAGCAGTGATTCCTTTAGTGGCCCCAATTCTCCATCCCAGAATCCCAAGCTGACAGCAACTGGCTGACTTCTTCTATGTAGAAGGAGCTGCGGGCAGCTTCCCGCCGCCCGGCTCCCGGCCACAGGCTAGCTTTACTCAAAATAATTACACGGAAACTGTATTCATTTATACACTGCCTGGCTTATTAGTTTCAGTCTCTTATCGGCTAATTCTCGCATCTTGCTTTAACCCATATTTTGTAATCTGTGTAACACCACGAGGTGGTGGTTTACCAGGAAAGATCTTAACCTGTGTCCATCTCAGTGAAGAGAGCTATGGTGACTGCCTCACTGCCTTCTTCCTCCCAGCATTCTGTTCTGTCTTCTCCACCTACCTATGTTCTGACCTATCAGGTCAAGCAGTTTTCTTTATTAATTAACCAATGAAAGCAACAGATAGATAGAAGACCCACCTACATCACTTCTATGAGTAATTGAGTGCAATTTATTGGGTATTTTTCTTTTCATATTTCTTTTTTTTCCTCACATTTTCAAGTTTAATAGATACTACAAAAAGAACAGGCTGATTTCTGCAACAGGTGTATCATATAGTCTACCCACAACACAGCTCAGGCCATTCCCAACAGTGGAAGAAAGGCCAACCCCCACCCCCCAGCACTGTAGGAAAGGCATGTCTTGGATGACAACAAGTTTTGTTTTTAAGCATGAATAGAGTACAAGAGATTTTCTTCTGGCTGCCCAATGGAGCCTGTCAGAAAAATGGTCCAGTGCTCACTTCTGCTTAGAGAAATATTCTTTGCTCTTTTGGACATCAGGCTTGATGGTATCACTGCCAGGTTTCCAGCCGGCTGGGCACACTTCACCATGTTTGTCAGTGAACTGGAAGGCCTGAACTAGTCTCAGAGTCTCGTCCACAGAGCGGCCAACAGGAAGATCATTTACAGTGATCTGTCGAAGGATACCTTTATCATCAATAATAAAGAGGCCCCTGAAAGAGATACCTTCATCAGCCTTTAAGACTCCATAATCCTGAGCAATACTGCGCTTGGGATCTGATACCAAAGGAATGTTCATAGGTCCCAATCCTCCTTGTTTCCTGGGTGTATTAACCCATGCCAGATGACAGAAGTGAGAATCCACACACATCTGTGTGTCGGGGCTGGAAGAACCTCAGGCATCAGCCTACAGCACAGCACTCAGCTTTAAGACAGGCTCTCTTTGGCCTGAAGCTCACCAATTAAGCTCTGAAGGCCAGCCGAGCTGGAATTGCAAGCAAGTGCTGCCACACCCAGAGTTCTTTGTTTTTTAATTTTATTGATTCTCTATAGATTTCATACCATGTATCCTGATTCCACCCATCTTCCCATCCCCCACATCCACCCTCCACCCTTATAACCTCCCCCCAAAACAAAACATAATTTAAAAGAAAAACCAAAAGCCATACAAAGCAAACAAAACAAAAGAAAAGAAACAAAAACAAAGAAGAAGAATCTTGTTGTGGATGCTGTAGTGTGGCCCGTTAAGTCACACAGTTTACCCGTTAGTCCCTAAATCACAGGTCTCAGAGAAAGAAACAGCTACGCAAAGGAAGGAAGACGACCTTCATATTTCTTATATACAAATTCACATATTTGTCAGTAAAAACCAATGACCTGAGTTTTATCCTGGTGCCCTGGGGAGGACGGTGGAGTTGGTGGTGTGAGTGTGGATGAGAAGTACCTGAGGGCCTGAGAGTAGGAGAACTGGCCCTGCTCCTTGCTGCAGGCTGCATTGAGTGAACTGGCCATGGCAGTACTGGAAAGCTTGCCTGGGTAGTGACGATGAGGGAAAGCTGATGGGTTGACCGACCTAGCAACCACCCAGGCCCAAACCCAGGGCTATGAGTTGGTCCATCATAACATCCACCTCATCTATGAACTGTTGGAGCCTGTGAAGGGGATGAACCTACAGATCCAAAGCTGCAGGATCTCCAGGATACAGGACAACAGCAGGATATCCAAGGGGGCCCCAGTGAAGCCATTATCGATGGTGTAGCACAAATCAGAGGCCTTGAGCCAGACCAATGACTCACGACAATGGAGATCTGCAAGCCAAGATGAAGGGACTAACGGGTAAACTGTGTGACTTAACGGGCCACACTACAGCATCCACAACAAGATTCTTCTTCTTTGTTTTTGTTTCTTTTATTTTGTTTTGTTTGCTTTGTATGGCTTTTGGTTTTTCTTTTAAATTATGTTTTGTTTTGGGGGGAGGTTATAAGGGTGGAGGGTGGATGTGGGGGATGGGAAGATGGGTGGAATCAGGATAGGTGGTATGAAATCTATAGAGAATCAATAAAATTAAAAACAAAGAACTCTGGGTGTGGCAGCACTTGCTTGCAATTCCAGCTCGGCTGGCCTTCAGAGCTTAATTGGTGAGCTTCAGGCCAAAGAGAGCCTGTCTTAAAGCTGAGTGCTGTGCTGTAGGCTGATGCCTGAGGTTCTTCCAGCCCCGACACACAGATGTGTGTGGACTTGCACATGGATGTACCTCCCTTGAACATATAACATGTGCACATGTTAAAAAGTAAAATAAAAACATGTAGCTGCTCAGATAGAAAAGGGTGTCAGCCCATATGAAAACTCAGAAACTGGAGGGATGAGTAAACATGTCCAACTTGGGGCATGTTCCTGGTTAATATTCTCTTTCCATAGCCTTCCAAACAACGTTCTTCTTTGTTCAATATCCTGTCCGTGTAGGACCAGGCAGAATAATCCGTCTGAAAGTTCTCACATGCTTCCTGAAATGATGTTTGTAATTGCAAAACGCACCCTGTTGGTAAAAGACCTGACTGAAAAGAATATCTTGCTTGCCTACCCAGTTAATCTATAACAAGTTGCTTGGGTATGAATATATGTGGGTTCTTGGGATAATTTGTTTTTCACCTGTAATATGTAAAGTGTTCAATCATGTAAGGGATATGGAAACACGCTGTTTTTTTTTTTTTTACTTGAATTCATTGTAATCAGTCACTTAAAAAACAGAATGTAACCACATTGTAATTAGTACATTGCTTGAAAAACATTGTTGGGGGTATATAAGCTATAGAAAAATGTATACAGTAGAAAGAATACAGAGGAATAGAGAAGGAAGCCAACAAGAGAGTGTATGACTGTCTTTTTCCTTAACCCCCTCAGATAAAAAAGTCTAGTATATGCCAATTCTATGGACTTCTTTTGAGCCCTGTGCTGTTGGGGGCTGGTTTCCCCAGGCAGCAGTAGGCCATGCAGGTTGTCAGTCACAAGGCTCCTTCCCACAGGGTGAGGAGCACAATGTCCTCCTCACCTGTAGAGTACCATTTCCAAGCAGTCCCAGGTCCCAGTGAGAAGCCCTTCACTAGTGACAGGCGTTCTCAGGAGTCAGTGGCTTGCAAAGCCTGGTGAGAGTCCCTTGAACCTCCCTGGCCTCAGGGGGTCCTAAGGGGGCATTGCTGAACCTCCCTGCCCCAAATAGTGTCAGGTGATTTTAAGGGAGAAAGAAGGAGAGCTGAGGTTCTTGCTTTCTTCCCACGAATCCTCTAGGTTGCTGATGCAAATTTTAAGCTTTAAGCTTTAATCTTTAAGCTTGGTCTGTAGTAGGGTGTGCAAGGTGAAGGAGCCGAGTCCCATTTTAATAACTTTGTTAGGAAAATCAGGTTTCTAGGCCACCCAGTGTCATCACCATTAGAAACTGGGTGAATACCATTTCTAGGTGGCAACTGAACCCAGCACCAGGAATCTGAGCAAGGCAGTGGGGAGTTGAGCGACTGTGTGGAATGCAGAGAAAGGTATGTCTCAAACACCAATGTCCAACACATCCGTTCAAATTCCATTTTGCCTGGTGTTTCACTAGGACAGCCATCTTCGGTTTGTCTCAGACCCCTCAGTACTTTAAAAATTTATTGATTCTCCCTGTTCTCTCTCCCCCGGCCCCATATGTGTGTGTTCACATCCATGTGTGTATGTAAGTGTGCAGGTGGACATACACCTTTGTGTATGTGTGAATGTAGGCGAGAGGTCGCTATCCAATGCCGTCATCAAGTGCTCGACACCGTCTCCCACTGAAACTGGAGCTTTCCAATTTGTTTGAACTGCTATCTACCAAGTCCCAGAGGTCCTCCTGTCTATGCCCCCCAGCACTGAGATTACAGGTCCATGCTGCCACCCAGCTTACTTTTTTTTTAAAAAAAATTCAAGGTCTCATGCCTGAATAGCAAACACTTGCCAAACTGAATCATCTCCCCAGCTTAGAGTGTTCCTGCTTTTGATGATGTAATTTGTATTTATCATGCTAGAAATTGTGACTGATAAAAATTTAAAGTTAGACATTCATTCATTTCAGGACAATAATAAGATTTGACATGTATTATTGCAATTAATATTTTAGTATTTCCCAAAGTATCAAAAAAGTCACATCATCTTACTTCTTTGTCAGTTACTTTTGTGTTAGCAGGTTCTTGGGCTTTTCACATCTGTGCCGCCTTCCACTGAATGTTTGCCACACTCTTGGAACAGCTGCCCTGGTGTAACTTTAAATGCTGTGTGTGAAAGTTCCCTGGAGATGGCAAAGCTCCACTGGAACCCTGGCTGCTGCAGCATGGCCTTCCTCCTTTGAGGTCCGTCACATTCCAACTCAGCACGCCTGGTCTACTCAGACCTGCACTACCTCCAGGGGCTACAGAAGTAACCCTTTCGTAGAAACCTACAGAAGACCAAATGAAAACAAACCCAATTTACATCTCATAAACTCTTGTGGTTTCACATAAAATCCCAAGCAACAGCTGGGAGCGCTATAAGTAAATCCATACTGCATTAAAATAAGTTTTTCTTTTATAAGTTTTTACTTCTAATTTTGTTCTTTGATAAAGTTTTCTCTGTATCACACTATTTTTTTCTTTCGTGTGTGTGGGTTTTAGAGACGGGGTTTCTCTGTGGCTTTGGAGCCTGTCCTGGAACTTGCTCTTTTAGACCAGGCTGACCTCGAACTCACAGAGATTTACCTGCCTCTGCCTCTCGAGTGCCCGGATTAAAGGCATGTGCCACCACCGCCCAACTCACACTATGTTTTGATTACTTTCCTTTTCCATTCTCTTTTATCTTCCTTTGGTCTCTAGCAAATCTTTCTTTTCCTACGAGCTCCTTTCTTGGATTCATGACTTTGGTTTAGTTGCGTGACCCATTTTGATTTACCTACAATCAGTCAGCACACTCTATGTCCTTGAGAGGTAGGTATTCTGATGTTACAAACTTATGTTAGTTCTTAGAAACTAATGAACAGACAATTATCAAACAGCATTCAGATCTGGTAAGTAATGAGACTAGGGATCCAGTCAGCCTTCTTACTGACCAAATGTAGTAGCTTTGCTTATAATGTCTCTGTAGTGACGTGTTACTCTGTTGTACTCACATGTGATGTTACTATATCTCTGTGGTCAGCTCACACTCATAAAGATGATAGTAGGAACAACATGCCCCATCAGCAGAGGGAAGAAAGAACATTGGAAAAGTTTGAACATGGCTACCTCTAAGAGCTGTGGGAACTATGTCTGAAGGGAATATAAAGATGGGAATGGGAAAATGTGGGACAAACAGGAGTGGAAGACAAAGATCTGTACCAGGCTTTTTCTTTTGGGCCACCAACCAGCTCCTAAATAATCACACAGAGACCTCTTATTAGTTATGAATGCTTGACCTAGTTTAAGCTTGGTTCTAGCTAGCGTTTTTTTCCCTTTAACCTAAATAACCTGTTTCTCTCAATATACCTTTTGTCTTGGGCCTTTGTACTTTTCTTTCCTTCTGTATATATTATGTTCACTGCTTATTGTGTCTGGCTAGCTGGTGGCTGGCTGGCTGGCCCCAATCATCCCCTTATTTCTTCCTCATTCTCTCCTCTCTTCTTCTTGAGCCAGAGTTCTTCTGTTTATTCTCTCTGCCTGCCAGTCCTGCCTATTCTTTCTTTGTCTAGTTATTGGCCATTCAGCTCTTTATTAGACCAATCAGGTGTCATAGGCAGGCAAGGTGAAACAGCAACACATCTTCTCACAGTTATACGAATACAGCCCAATCAAATATAACACACCTTTACACAGTTAAAGTAATATTCTATAACATAAACAAATG